GTACCCAAGATTATTTGTAAGCTGTTGAATATTAATTAAAACTTTGTTCATAATGTCAAAACTTTTACCAATAGTTGGGTTACAAAAATGCAATTTATTGATAGGTGTGTAGTATTTTCATTAAAATGGCTACTTGTTATTCAAAAATATTGTGTACTTTCACACTAGTATTTATTTGTTAGTTATGAAATATTTGGAGTAGGAATAATACAGTGTTGTACTAGGGATGTTTAATTTCTGTGGTTTTTTATTCAACTATCTATTTAATATTATCAATGTTAATTACCTAATTAGAAGGAAAATATTAAAAACTTTTAGAATCATTTGTTTAGATTTAAATGAGTGAGAATTTATTTCAAACATGGTTGTATTTTTTTGTTTATCTTAGCATTGGTTCAAATATCAAGTTATTAATTGATCGTTCAGATGGAAAATAYTGTTTTCGTGAGAAAAAAGAYCGAGTTTATTATGTATCTGAAAAAGTATTAAATATGGGATCCATGATGAATCCCGATAACATAATTAGCATAGGTACATGTTTTGGAAAATTTACCAAGTCTGGAAAATTTAGAATACATATAACATCTTTAGATTATCTAGCTCCATATGCTCAGGTAAAATATAAATCTGTGTTTACATCTTTGTTCACTTGATAGATGAAGTGCTTTTACTACATTCTACTGTAATTTTAGCATAAAATGTGGATAAAACCTGCTGCTGAACAACAATTTTTGTATGGCCATAATGTTTTAAAATCTGGCCTTGGGCGAATTACAGAAAGTACTACTCAATACCAAGGAGTTATAGTATTCTCAATGAGTGATGTTCCTTTGGTAAATATAATTATAATCTATGGAATAATTATTTATTTTTATACTTGTATACATAATTATTATTCAGGTTATTCTTTAAATAATTTTTATTGTGATTTTTGGCAAAATAATTTATGGCTAACTTATTTATTTACTTTGTCCTCCATAAAAATTTTAAAGTATMTACAGTCGGGTCACGATAACTCGAAAAACTTGACAACTTAAATTTATTTTAATTCCCCTAGAAAATTCTTTTCCTGTTAATGAGTTAGATATCTCGAATCACATCTTATCTCCCTGCGAYTTCGAGTTATCGCAACTTGACTGTAGTTGTAACGGAGGTTGTAACAATATAAAAAAGTTTTTTAAATTTAGTTTAATGACGACTTCACATATAATTGATATTGCATGTTTGTGTAAATTATACTTAAATACAATTTTGACCCAATATTGATTGTCATGAGATTTTAATACATTCATCTGGATGCTAATTTTAATTGTTTATTAATAAATCTTTAAAAAAAGTATTCAATATATTATCATGGATTAAATCATTTTTATAAATACGGCAACTAAGAAGATGCTAGACACACATTTATTATCTAAATACCTATTATTTATTTATTATTTTTTTTATAAGAAATTTACAATCTGTTCTTTAATCTAATAAGCAAATGTGCACAGAAAGTTTATATAATATACAACATTCAAACACAGATTACCCTCCTAAAATTAAGTTTCATAATTTGTCGATTAACCCTAACTTTTAAACTAACCAAACTAAATGTGAAATTCTGAGCATACAATTGGGATGTTACCCTGTTATTAAGAAAATAAATATTAATTTATATTTTATTTTATACACATTAATTTTTAGATAAATTAAAATTTATTTTTATTTAATACTTTCTACCGTTGGATATTCCTGCCCTAGATGATAATCTTAACTTTAATTTTGACAATAGGTAGAGTAAGGATTCATCTAAATAGTAAATTTTCTACATACTATATAGATAGAAAACAGCACATGAAAACAACACATGTAGATATAGTCTTATTAAACTCAACACCAATAAAATAAATATCAACTAAGAAGTTTGAATTGAACATTACTCTTACCACTTATATTTAATATAAAATAAATATTTATAAAAATTGATTCTAAAATACTGATTCTATATCATTAACAAAATAATAATATTATCCCTCCACTAGTCTTTACAAATATAATATATTGTTATTATAATTTTTTTTTTGCATTTTAATAGCAGTTTTTAAACGATAATACAAATCTATGTCACATACAGTGAAACCTCTAAATACCGGACACTCTCGGTCGATTAAATGTTGTCCGCTATTAAGAGAGGAAATACAGTGAGTACAAATTTAACCGTTCCCAAAATTCCGTCCGTTATTTGGAGGTGTCCGTTAAAGG